CATCACCCGAGGAAAGGCCCTTCCAGCCCCGCTCCGACGGGCCTTGGGGTGGGCGACCGTTGAGCCTGGCCGAGGAAAGCAAAGAAATTAATCCCCCCCTCCCCTTGATTTATTTTTGATTTGAGGCAGGGGCTTTCCTGGTTGGATGCCCTCCCCTGCTCTGCAGCAAGCCAGCGGTCCTGCCAGGGTGGGACCGGGATGTGCCACCTCTGCAGAGAGACCACTCTGAAATGGCCTTGGGGACCCTGCTGGGCCCCACATCCCCCAGCAAGACGTAATCCCTAGTCCAGTGGTGCCCAGGTGGCAGCAGCAGGAGTGGGTGCCCAGTGGGATGCGTGTCAGCAGCTGCAGCACCAAGGAGACCTAGCTCACTCCGGTGGCATTCGCATTTCCAAGGGTTCGGGAGACTTCCTCAAGGGAGGGTGCCAATCGGGACACCTTTCCCACTCTAGGCGGTACAGCTGTCATCTCGTGGCGGTCCTCGTGTTGTCCCCTGCTTTCACTAGACGTCCAGGTCTCCCACAGGGAGGGCCGACCCCAGCTGCAATTGTCGGGATACTCTGAGCAAATCCCTCTGTGATCTGTATGATGGAGAGCATATGCACTGCTCAGGGTCTGAAGGAAATCATCTCACATATGAAGAACAAAAAACATATTTTTCCAGATCTCTGCCAGGGATTTATTTGCAAAATTCCTAGGGAAGGAGGAGACCCTTGGAGGTCTCCAAGCTCGAGACCCAAAGTAAATAAAATGTTGCAAGAATACATTTAGCGAAAGATAATGCTGAACACAGGAAAACAGAGAGAATGATGTAAAAATATGTCTTCTGGAATCTAGGGAATGCTTATATCCAGGCAGTGGGGCGCTATAAATGTGTTGATCAGTGAGGTTGCCTATCCGTGGCTCCAGGGATGTCTAAGCCGCATACATGCAGCTAGTGCTTGTGCAGAAACCCTGTCCCAGCAGAGTCTGAGCAATGTTGGCCCCTGACCATTACTTGTTTAGTCTTGAGGCAGGTGGATGTGCTCAAATACGCCTCCAAAATAGTGGCCATAGTGGCATTAAATCTGCCAAGCTTCTTGAAGCTCTTATTTGCGGCACACCTCTTTGCTGCACCACACAGGAGATGGCAGGTCTGACCCCAAGAAAGTGCCTTGTGATCAGCTAAGCTATAGGAGCCAGAGCAGACGGGAAAATCTCCCCTTTAGTGTTTCTGAGAAACAGAGCCAATTACACTAACCTCATGTAGGGACAAAGATGCTGTTCAGTGTGCATGGCCAAGCAAGACCTGCAGCTTGATGTTTGTGCTAAGAACTACTATTAACAACTCCGACTTGTTTTATTTTCTCCTAATCCAGCCTTCCAACAACACACAACAAAAAGCTACTCTTGCAGAGAGCTACCTCCTTTGGAATCAGCCAGCCACTGATCTAGTAATTGCCATGACTTGTCATTCCCAGTCCCATCTATCACACAGTGCAACATGACACCTCAGCCAGGGAAATTCAAAAGAAAGCAGTTTTCTGTCTGCTTCAATTTACCAATAAAAAGCGAGAAAGGCTTTGAAAATATGGCTTTAAATGACTGTATTTCTCGATGAAAACCTCTTTTATAAAACATAACAGGGTATTTCTCTTGAAAGAATGTGGGGTCAAAAATGTAGTTAAAACTATTAACCTCTTTCTCTACCATCATCCACCCTTCCCCTCCTGGGCCAACAGTATCATCAGCTTTTGGGTCTGCTAGGGGTCGATGAAGCGTCCTGAAATATCGCATCTTGCCTAGGGAAGTGTTCCAGCGTTTGTCCACGTCCAAGCATCCGAGCAGTCCCGCTGATCCCCATGATGACATGCAAAGCAAAGGAAAATGAGGTCGGTGCCTCATGTTTTTTTGCCATTTTTTTTTCATGTCATCGCTGAGGCTGGAGAGCTGCTTTGTGCTAGAGTTTCTTCTTTCTTTGAAAGCAGTCTGTCTTACTGTTTTCTCACTGCCTGTCTCAGTAGGACCTTGGTGTCTAAGGTGTGGCAGATGCCCATTATTTATTAATATTGATTGCCTATTTTTCACTGCTCTTTTTCTAGAAAGGGGTGAAGTACAGTAGGAGAGATTGCCATCCATACCTAGGATTGTTGCAGCTGAAATCTCGTAAATACTTCCCAGTCCTGGATGCGCAGACATTCTTTTGAATTATTAAATTTAGGGCTGCTCAGCCTTAGTGAAGGTTCATCCTGATAACGAATATGTTGCAGCTATAAAAGTTCCATGTGTCTGTTAAAAAGCATCTATATTATCCTCGATATATTACAATTTTAAACACTTGGTTCCAGGAGTAAGTTATGTCATATGGTTTCAAGTAAGACACTTGCTTCTCCAGGTCAAAGTCTGTAGGCAACCAATTTCCAGGAAACAGAGGCTTGACATCTGCATCAAAATTGCAGTGCAGTTAAGTTACCCTCAGGTCTAAAAAATCCTCTGGCAATAACCTCACCTTTGACAGTCACCATCCGGCCCCTCTTCTATCCTTCTGAGTGTTTCCCGAAAACGGCATTTCTGTCTCAGTGTTTCCATCCCTATTTTTTACCTCCATAGCAACCTCATCTTCTTCACAGGGCACGTGGCAGCCTTGGCCCATCGGACATCTCCCTCTTCCGTGCGGTGAAGGCATCAGCCCCTGCCTCTTGATGCCTGTCCTGTTTTATCATCCGCCAGCACAATAACTCCTGCCCCAAACACAGCTCTGCTTCAGGCACGAGCCAAGGCTTCTCCCAGCAGCCAGGAGAGACCACAGGGCTCACCCTTGTTATTAACTCTTCTCAGCTCCGCTCAATCTCTGTATTTCAGTGTGGTAGGGGAAAAAAGCCCTATGTGTTAGGAGGGGGGACCCAATTAAATCATTTATCTCCAGCGCTCCTTGGCAGCATGCAAAGTGTCTAACTTTAGGTTTAAATTTTAAAATCTGCGGAGTCGGCTGCATCTTCTTTTTGTCTTATGTTTTTTCGGTACCTAGCAAATTGGAAACGAGACCACAAGCATGATGATTCAGTAAGGGGGAAGGTAGGCTCAACTGTATGAGGATCAAGGCGTCTCTAGTTTGGGGAGATTTCCATCATCTTGAGAATCTGGCCTGGTGAACAGCACAGCACTCATTATCTTTTAACACGCAGAGCACATAGTAACTCAAAGTTCAAAATTCTTTATTTTCTTTGGCATAGCGAGAAATGCGACCCAATATGGCAATCATACATAATACATGAAACAAGCAAAGAGACATAAAGCAAACAAAAGTGAGATCAAATGCGCAGGTTACGCAGCAGTAAGGGCAGCCTGCCGCTCGGGTGCCGCTGACGACCGCGCGCTTGTGCGGTTCTCCGTGTCGGATCCTGGAGTGGGCTGGGGAAACCAGGGCTCGAACCATTGGCCTCCATTTGAAGGAAGGACAGGGAGAACTGTTTACTCCCTCAGCCAGGGAAAAAGGTTTATCCCTAGGGCTAAACCCAGCCGCCGTTTGGGTTTGCCAAACGGAGATGGATGCTGGAGAGCAGAAGGCCGGGGGCAGGATCCATGCAGTCGGACTCGGATCCCTCTTTGCGCCCCAGTTTCCTGGCTGTAATTGGGATGGCCTTTTACTGTGGCCCTTTGGAGTAATTTGTTTTTCTCTACGGGCAGATGTGTCTGGTTATGGATTGTAGGCTTTTCCCAGAGATTCAGCTGCAGGTACTCCATGGGATCCATACGGAGTTATAGATCCGTCAGTTACAGAGGGCTCCGAGGGTCCTGTGAGCCCCCTCGGAGGGCGACATGGGGCTTTCTTGCAAGCTCCAGGTAAAGGCATTTGCCAGCTGAGGGTTTGACATGAGATATCAGAGCTCCACCGACCCTGACGAACTTAGTCCTTAACGAAGAGGCTTTATCGCTCTCTGGCCGTGTGTAAACTGCAAAGGAGGTGTGTGCTAGGAAACAAGCTCGTGAACA